AAAAGTTTAGAAAAGGGGTAATTTCTCCTTATTCTGTAAGGAGCTGTCATAGGTACATCGTTTAGTTATAATGAAATTTAGCATATTTCATATGTTTTGGAAATAATAACCTGGCTCACCTGTGATATCCTGAAGGACCTGGGGTTAATGATGGAAAGATATTTTACAGATGATTCAAGGTTTATTATAAATCCTACCTCTTCATATTAGGCATCTTAATAGGTTTTGAAATGGCAGAGAGCAGTATAGCCTCGTGTTGGAAAAAGTGAACAAAAATCCATAGCATTATTACTGAATAAACATATTTTCCCCATAAATAAGACTGGAAAGCTCTTCAACTATATTATGTCAGTATAGATATGCCTACAGTTTACACACTGTGGCTTTGCACCATGTATGTATGACTCACCAGGTGCACAATATATACACTGCATGACCTGCTGATCATGCCAAACTGATGAAGGCCATACATCCATATATTACAGAGTATGAATTGTGTCTTACTACTTGGCGAGCAAAGTACTACAGTACTCAAAATAAATAGGAGTGGATGATTCCTGGCCTGAAATACTGGATGAAGTTTTCAAATCTTTAATGCAGGCACAACTGAACAGAAGAATTCTGAAAGCTGCCTCTGCAGAATCCCCTGCCTTCATGTCTTTTCAAGTGCATTTCATTTAAAGATCCATTAAAAACATCCATTGAAACACTTAATGTAGGCACAATGTAAAGCCACACTTCAGTCACATGCACAGTGTACACCCACCCAGACTCTCATATTTGGGAGGAACTGCATGCTGGAAGCTGCTGCCTAAAGTCAGTCTGAGGATAACCAAAAAAGGAAGAGGAGACAGGATAATTTCCCCGACCACTGGCAAATTTCAGCATAAGATAAAGGGGAAAAAGTGTCCTAAAACTAGAATTTAATAGAGCATTACATCCAGGGTAGAACCGTCTAGACTTAGAGTTTGATACATACACCACAAACTTACTTCTGTGTTCACTAATTTCCAGAGAACTTTATTGTCTTCATCCCTATTAAATTCTGTAGGACGTTTCTATAAGAATACTTATCTCTAAACACATGGTAGAGAGGGCTACCAGTGGGGTGCTGACATTGCTAGTTTTCTAACACAGCTGGAATTCTGCACAGGTCAAATGAACAGAGCTCTAATCACAGGAATTTCTAATCTAATGGCTGATTGCTGGTGCTTGATCACAGACCTGATTTTTCCTCAGCCCACTGGACTTCTGGGAGCTGAAGAGAGCAGGGACAAGCAGTTTGCCACAGCAACCTTTTCTTTCCTACCACTAGATGGATACATATAGCACAGAAAAATTCAGGCAACAGCTCTAGATTCATAAAGGAAGAAGCAATTAAGAACCACTTAAAACTCCTTCATCCCTCTTCTTTCTATGGAAGCTCAAATTCTTGCCTAGGCACAAATGTAAGCTGGTTAAAGAACATTTTTTCTTATGTGATCTGTATACCAGGTTTCCAAAGCTCTAGTCACATCCCCATTCCTGCTGTTTCAAAGAAAGATGCAATTTCCTGGAAAGATGTCAGGTTATGCAGTAGCATGCTGTGCTTGTAAGAGATGACCAGCAGGGATCCTGGTTTTCTCTGATTTACAGAAGTCCCCAATTTTTGGTTAAACTCCCCATCCCCAAATCTACATTTTTCCATGATTAAAATGAAACACCACTATCTATCTATCTATCTATCTATCTATCTAGTGGTGTTTCATTTTAATCATGGAAAAATGTGGATGGGGGTGGGTTAACCAGAAATTGGGGATTTTTGTAAATCAGAGAAAACCAGGATCCCCGTTGATCATCTCTTATGAGCAGGGCATGCTACTGCATAACCTGATATTTATAGATAGATCTGTGTGTGTGTGTGTGTGTGTGTGTGTGTGTGTGTGTGTG